GGGGGGTGCTGGCAGTGTCCCTACCAATGCTGAGACCAAACCTACGCCCTTGGCTGTGTGCCTTCTGTGTACCTTGTTTACCAGGACCACCACCTTAGCCTGAGGCGTTGTCTCCAGGTGTCTTTTGGCCACATAGACGGCAGCACGGGTCTTTCCACCTCCCGTCGGCAGCCAGATGATGATGTTTTCTCTCCGAAGAGCCCTTTCAACCACTTCCTCCTGGTATGGCCGCAGTTCTAAATCTGCCATCTTGCACTTCCCTCCTGTTTGACAACACATCAGAATTATAATATCGTGAAAAAAAGGACACAAGATCATACCAGTAGCTACATCAAAGACTGTGATCAATAACGCAATAAAGTCGGGCTGGATCAGAGTCGCTCTGAGAAAACAAACAAGCAATCTGAGAAGCCACGTCATGCATCTTTAAACTGTTAAAAAGTCTGCCTTTATTTACTCACTGCTCAGCTGTGTGGCGTATCTAGCTTCTCCTGGTCCACTACCGTCACACAGTGTCAGTCGTGGGGTTTTAAACTGCTGATCAGCTGTGCGATGTGGAGACGGGAAAACGAAAGTAAACGCTGTTTGATCTCTGACGGGGTTTGCTACTGAGGGAGGCTCTGGAGGAACAACAGTATAGTTCTTTACGCAGTGACAGGGGAAGCCTAAACTACAAAGACAATAGCTTATAGTATATAGTTAAAAATAAAAATTAAAGGCACTTTTAGGCCCACTTCTATATTTACATTTACATCCTATCTATGTATTTATTAAATTCGTGGCTTACAGCCAAGGTGTGTTTGTAGAGTGTTGAAAACGTCCTGAGTCTTTGCTTACCCCTTAAATGGGCCCTACTTGTTCATCGTTCCATCAGGAAAACAAAACTTACTGTTGTTGCTTGTGGTGAAGCAGGAAATCCCCATGCCTGCTTTAAATGTAACTTATGTAACTGGATCTGTTCTGCCCGCATAAACTTTGTTTTGCGGGACTTGGGTAAAGTCAATTTTAAGTCAAGCTAGACGTTGGAATTTGAAAGAAGCTGTGTAAATCTACACATATACCACCTTTTTTAGAGTGATAATGTCATGTAGAATAACAATCAGTGCAATCAGATGCACAGAAATAATATTAATAACCTGAATAAAAATTATTTAATGCTGTATTTATACAGAATAAATAATATGTTAAAATATTAACATTTCTATATAAGCAACATGCTAAGTTTACAACACATTCTGGGCTTGACTACCCCTACACATGTATAAAAACTAGGCACAAGGAGAATCACAGAATCAATGCAAAAGTAGAAATAGAAACTAAAGCACAATAGCCATAACGGATGAATTATCTCTACCCGTTTATAAAAGTATGGGTGAAAGAAACATCACAGCATAATTGGGGAAAAGTATAAATATACTTTATTCAAAACAATACATATACTACCAGAGTTATTGTCTTCTTAAATGTATTGCACATTTACAATATTAACCATAATTTGCCTGTTCAAGTGATTTACATGCAGAAAGCACTCAACATCCATGATGCCTTATATCCGTGATCAGGTGTGTGAGACGGAGAAACGAAACTTAAACCTGTATGTGTCCACAGAATGGTGCTACTGAGGGAGGCTCTGGAGCAACGACCGCTGCTCTTCACTTTGCAGTGACAGCGCAAGCTTGAACAGCACTGACAATAAGTAAACCTTTCACAAACCCTTTATAATCTAGCCATATGTGATCTTATATTTATCTTAGACTATATATGATGTGGCTTGCAGTTGGGTGTTTCACTGAAACTGAAAAAGGTTCGTCAGGTTGTGTGTACAGTACACCCTGAATGGGCCCTGCTTTTTGTTGCATCAGGAAAAGAAAACCTACAGGCTACTACAGACTCAAACAGAAGTACAGAAGAACTGATTTTTTTTTACACAGATGCACAATTATAGGCACCTATTTGGCCACAGACGCGCTTTCTGATCCACTATTTAACATACAAACTATTTCTGGATAGTTTAAGAGACAAATATGTACCAATTAAGCAGGTTACTGAAGATAGTTAAGGGATGCATTTGTTATTAAGCCTTAACTAAAGAAAGTTACTAAAGGTCCAAAGGCACTGAAAGCATCTGACGCACGCTTTTTAAAGTACACTTATTGTTTTAAATGGCCGAACATGCAGCTAAAGTGTTATGAGGTGCGTGAAACTGCCCCTTCTCCGTATAACCCAAGTGAGAACTGGGTCTGTATACTCGGCACAAAGTCACTTTTTCCAGTGAGTGTTGGCCTTCGCCTGGGTTGTTCCGTTTGTCTCAAGGCGCAGCCAGGGGGAGGCTCTGCTCTTTGCAGAGGATATGTGGTTCCATTGGCTCCTTCATACCGCAACGCTCAGCACACACTGGGGTGGTTTGCAGCAAAGTGTGAAGAGGTTGGGATGAAAGTCAGTACCTCCAAGTCTGAGGTCATGGTTCTTTGCCAGAAAACGTCGGATTGCACCCTCCGCGAGGGAGTTCAAGTATCTCGGGTTGTTGTTCACAAGTGAGGGTAAAATGGAGCGTGAGTTGGACAGGCGTTTCGGTTGCGGCGTCAGCAGTGATGCAGGCGTTGTTGTCCTTGTGGTGAAGGCTGGTGGTGGCAACGGTCTTGATTTACCAGTCCATCTACGTTCCGACACTCACCTATGGTCATGAGCTTTCGTTAGTGACCCAGAGAATGAGATCGGGGGGGGGTACAAGCGCACAAAATGACATCCGGAGGAAGTTTGGAGTAGAGCAGCTGCGTTGTGTTGAAAGGGGAACAGATGAGGTGGTCCAGGCATCTGATCAGGATGCCTCACTGTAGAGGTTTTCTGAGCAAGTCCAACTGGTAAGTGTTTTACATGCACCACGAGCCTTATGGTGCACATCAAACTGCTGTTGAGCATTAAATGAGGACCCAGAGACCAAAGGACGAAAATGTATGAAAGAAACTAAACTGGAATTTAATAATAACAGTCGCTTTAACAGGTTAAAATGACAAAAGTATTCATTTTGTAACTTGGTCGGATTTGTGTGCAAGACACTCAGCTAAAGATTGTTTTTGAGGTAAGATGTCACTCTCTAACACTGTACAACAATTGGTATGAGTGTTTAATAAACAACTCCAACAGACTAGATGTACTGCCTCATGGTGTTACGCCTCTTCCAAGTTGCAGTTTACATCAATGACTCTCCAAAATGTCAATATTTTATCCTGTCAGACATTTGTGTGAAATTGTCGTGAATAACAAATTAATTCTAGAGTTATGGCCAAAAACGTTTTGTGAAGTTTTTTATTTTGTCATGTCTGATATCCTCAAAATCTTTCAGCCAAAGTCAAGTGACTGAAGTTCACAACCTTTGTTTATATATATTATATAAACATATATATATGTATATGACAACTTTGTCATGAAGAGTTTTACAGTAAAACTAGACAGTAGCCATCCTCAAACAGGTGGAAACTTCACTCAGACTTATTAAGAAAGTCTGAAATGCAGCATCGGTAGATTGAGGGAAACGTACAGAATAGACAACCCTGAATAATGCAACGCTGACATCACTTCAGTAATTCCAAGCTAGTCATGAATCAAGTACAAAATAAACACACTCGCACACACATATACACAAGTCAATGAAACATTCAAAGTAACAACCTGCAACAACTATGGCTAAAAGTTTTTTAATGAATTCAAATTGTTAACTGTCCTAGCTTAACCACCCGCTACAGCTCGTGTATGGTGTGATAAATAACCCCCCCCCCCCCGACATCAACATAAACAACCCAGTAACCACCACAGACAGCGTGGCTGTACACTAAAGAGACGACTCAGCGTGTGTGTGTGTGTGTGTGTGCATACGACTGTACTACAGAGTCTAGCAACAGAACGAAACCATCAAGAACACCTGCGAGCTCAACTAACGTGTGACCTCATCCTGAAGGGTTGAATGAAACCCTGCCAGATGTGTGAACAGTGTGCGTCATGTTAACCGCATAGATTACGCATCCACCAGTGTTTTCGTGACGGCAACGATTGGGGAAATTATTTAGTTTTGACATATTTGATGCCCGGTCCATCATTAGCAACAAACGCTTTTTATTATCCGTCATCGATGCTTTTTTTCTTTTGGGAAGAATGTTGAAAATAATGTCGCTAAATGATAAATAATATTCAAAATACACTAAAGCTGTAACCATCACGTTCGGTATTTTGCACTTCATCAACAACTCACAACCGTGTTCCATTAATTATTCACCAACTGGTGGAATCGTTAGAGTACTCGAGAGTCAAAGTAGCTTGTTTTTAAGTATTTTAAGGACTCCGCCCCTCGGACAACGCTCGTCTTTATACGCATCATGAAGACGGACGGATGTTCAAGTGTCTGTCAGTAACGAAAGGCAGCGTGGCGGCTTCAGGTCCCGAGGTCCAGTTTCCTGTGAAAGAACTCTACACTACGTGTACTTCTGCTTGAGTGACAAGCTGTAAGCAAAGTGGAATGAACAAATGTCATCGCATGCGACAAAACCAAAATCAATCAAGACGATAAACAATGGTGGAAAGTGTGGCATTGTTATAACTTGGACCGATAACTTTGGTACACTTAATGAAACGCGTCGTCTTGACCCGCTGTGAGAAGTGGAAAAGAGGACGTGACAGAAGCTACCTTAAAGGTAATGCTGACACGCTCAATTAGAGCTGATATTACCAAAGCGGTTCTGTTTGTCCAACTATTCCAGTCACGTACATACCCCTTCTATTAACTCAGATATGACAATAGCGACGTTTTCCCTCGTCATCCGGGTTGAGTGAAAGTCGCCCCGCGTCGGTGTAGAAATGGGTAAATAACTCTCTCGTCTCATTTCTCGATCAGTCCTCCGTCTTTTAGTTTGAAGTAGAAGAACTTCTCCAAGGTGTTGGCACTCTTGCAGTACTCGCTGTCTGGAGGGTTGTACTCGCGACAGTTGGTGATGATTCGCTGCAGGTCGGCGATGAAAAGCTTCTTGGTCACATAGTATCGATTCTTAAGTCTCTCCGTCATGGTCTTCAGGTCTGCGGGAAAAAATTGAAAAAAAAAAGAAGAGAACAACGGTAAAAGTGAATTCATGATTTAATAAAGAGTTAGTGTTTAATCAAAGCGGCGGTCGGTCGCTCACCGATGGGAAAGCGGATGATCTCGTAGTAATCCGGAGCCTCGGATTTCTTCACCGGCTCCATGAAGGGCCAGGCATCGGGATGAGTCTGGAGGGATAGAGCCGCTGGTTAGTCTCTGTTCTCGTTACTCCTGTAGGTGCATGCGTGCTCCTGTCGACTCTTACCTTTATCTGGGCCAGGAGGTTCTTTAACATGTTGTACAACACGTCAGGGTCCTTCACCTCTTTCCTGCAAAACACGTGGAAAGGTAAGTGAGTCAGATACGGACTAAACTTCTTGTTATTGGTATTGATACGGTCAGTGTGGGACCCAGAGGGAAGACAGCAAAAGGTGCTTAATGTTTACCCTTTGTCCTTGTTACTGGGTTTCCATCCCGTCTCTCCTGGAAGAAAAAACTAATTTAAGTAATATGATAAAACAGATTATTATTTTGTTTCACACTAACCAAACACTCACTTATGCCGGGAATGCTCTCCACCGGGATCTGCCGTACGCCCTCTTTGAAGCAGGTCAGGCCTGGGTAAACCTTCCTGATCTGGATCTGTTTCCTCTCTATCAGCTTCTTAATAATCTGTTGTGACATTTAAGAAATATGTGATGTTAACAACTCAAAGATTCACAGCAGCAAACACACACGTTTTGGCTTTAACGAGAAGCTCTCGCAGCCTCACGTACCTCCTTCTGTCGTTTAATGATGTGAGAGAGCTCCGTGTAGGGGATCCTGGGGTTCAACTCGCACTCCATGAGGGTCGCTCCCTCGTAGTCTTTGATGTATCCCAGGTATCGGCTCTTCGGCACTTTGATGTCTTTGGAGAAGCCCTGCGAGGAGAGAACGGGTCAGTGAAAGGACGAGGTTTAGGGAGAGGACAGCAGCAGAGCTAATGCACGGCTCACGCCCGCAGTACCTGCTTCTTGAAGTAGCCGATGGCGTACTCGTCAGCGTAAGTGAGGAAATAGAGGATGTTGTGTTTGATGTGGTACTCCTTCAGGTGATTCATCAGGTGGGTCCCGTAGCCCTAAAATTAAGAAAAACAGAGAAAAGACTGTCAAAAATGTGTTTTCTCCTTATCAATTCATTTCATAGCTAAAGCTACAACTAGTGACAGAATGTTAACCAGCGCCTCGTTAGTCTGCTTGGCCCACCACAACTCTCTAAACGGTCATTGTTTACCTTAACTTGCTCGTTGGATGTGACGGCACAGAAGACGATCTCCGTGAAGCCCTGAGTGGGAAACATCCTAAAACAGATGCCTCCGATGACGCGGCCATCTTTGATAAGGGCTAGGGTCTTGTGCTTCCTGTGAAAGTCGGAGACGTCAGAAGAGTGTGCAGATGTGCGATGGCGACACAAGAGAACTAGAATAGATCTACTTACGGGTCAAACACCAGCCGTGTGATGTACTCTTTGGGCATGCGAGGTAATTGATGAGAGAAGACGTTCTGCAGGCCAACCAGCCACATCAGGATCTTCTTGTTGGACTTCTGGGAGAGCGAGTTCCCAATGACGTGGAACTCTATGATGCCCCGCCGCTCCTCCAGCCTGGCAGTCTCGTCACGGGCAGCGTTTGGAGTCAGAAGATTAGTCTAGCAAGATAAATAAAAAAAGTCAATATTTGGATCAAATCATACCTTTGGCCATCTGAGGCTGAACGACGTACCTCTGGTCCGAGCATAGCAGCAGGGTCGGTGATTGTCATCATGACTTCATTGACCAGCTCCATAGGAATGTCTCCCATCACACGGATCCGCTTGGCATCCTCCAGGGTCAGCGCCTCCGGGAGTTTGCGTTTCTCTCCTGAACAAACGGCGACATTGCTCCGATCAAAACAATGAGAGGAGTCGGCTAACAAGGATTTTAGAGCCATCATTAAACCCTCGTGGCTGTTTGTGAAGGTGACCCCCCCCCTTACGTATGTAGTCGCAGGTGTGTGTGTGTGACTCCACATAGTCAGAGCTGACAGACCTGTGGTGGGCTCTCCGGTGTCCATGCTGCCCAGAGAGGAGATGCTGCTCAGACCTTTGGGCAGCGCGGGGGAGCCGGACCCGGCAGCAGGACTGATCACTGCAACGCACAGGTGCACGATTACAAACCGCACAACTGCAAAAGCCAGCGATGATGTTTTCAGATGTTTTTTAAATAGCTCATTTAATTTCATACCGATAGAAGTATAATATACATTACATAAACTATAAATATACATGTGTTCTGTGTGACTCTTAACAAGGTACAATACCACTTCAATCAGGCTTTTGGAGTAACACTGCTAGACGCACATTGTTTCTGCACATGTGTATAGTTGTACAATGTGTATGTCCGATGGTATTGTTATTTATATAGCTTGTTGAATAAAATGTATCTTTCTTTGTTCCCAATCTGTTTCCTCATCATTAACCCTGGTTTTTTTTTTTGCATGTTGTAAAGTGTGACTTTCTTCTCTGGGGATCAGTGAAGGCATCGTTTTACATTCTGTAGTATCCAATAGGCTGAAACATCTGTGTTTTATAGTCCCAATAAAAGCGTCGCAGTTGATTGACTCGCGGGCGGTACACCTGCCTCACCTGTCTGATGGCCCAGCTGTGTGCCGTCAGCGGCCGGCATGGTGAAGTCAGCCTCCCAGATCGGTGAGTTGTCTCCGTAGATCTCCTCCTCCAGCATGGACAAGAACCTGACCACATTCAGAGGGAAAGGTTAGTACACGGGGAAATATCAACAAGAGGATCGCTATAGATTTACATACATTGGGCTATTTTCAGATAACTGAAAATAACTAATCTCTATATACTTGATTACAACACAAACAATATATGCACACTGATTGGTTCTTTAAAGCCTGAATTAAAGCTCTCAAATAATATGCTGTCAATAAAAACATGTTTGATGTTTGGTTCCCTCTTTCAAAATAATTTGAGCAATTTAAAACATTTTATTTGATAAATTAAGTCTTTGCAATAATAACGCATGCAAGCAAGCAAAGTGTATTTATATAACATTATATCGCATCTTTCACAGGCAACAGTCACAATTTCTCTCAGTCCATCTTAACTGAGCCACATATATGCAGACTCATTATACTGGCAGTGGTGAAGCAAATTCTCTCTCTCTCTCTCTCTCTCTCTCTCTCTCTCTCTCTCTCTCTCTAGAGAGTCAGCTTACTTGGGGAAGTGTGTGAGGATGAGAGTGCGTTTCTCTGGTAGCAGCTTGTCCTTCTCCACTCTGAACTTCTCCAGGAGCTGCCGTCGGGTCACAGTGAAGATGGACTTGAGCAGGCTGCGTCCGAACACGTGAGTGGTTTCATAGCGCGGCAAGCTGTCGTTGCTCTGGGGGACATGGCAGTAGCACAGCCACCTGGGAGCCACACGGGAAAATAGTTATTCTACAGACAGATATCAGCATCTACACAAGTCAAGTACAAGTAGAAGCATGTCCATGCGTCCCTTTAACAACAGCCCACCTTGTGTAGTCCACTTTGTATGCCGTCCCGTCATCTTTCTGGGTGCGCTGGCGATACTGCGTTGGCGTCTCCAGCTTCCAGTAATTTAGGCACAAGAGGAACATCTTTGACAGCTCAAACATGGTCTGCCTTTCCTTCGGTGCCAGGTGGCTGAACTTGTACTGAACAAAATTCAAAACCCCCTTTGGAGGAAAAGGAAACGAAAGATAAAGAAAAGGAGGCAGCGGGCGATGAATGAGAAATGTGACATTAGTCTGTCTATTTTCCACGGGTTGTGCACACGGGCCACCACCTATTGTCATATTACAAAACTATAGGATAAATAACAAGCATAAACATATGACAAGCATGCCTGTTGCTAGAGAAAGGCAGTACGATCCTGTTCAAAGCAACCTGGGGATTCTTCTAGTATCATGTTTACCTGCTCAATGTTGGGCTTCCCAAAGGGTGGACTTCCAAGGGATCCCTCTACGACCGGCTGGCTCATCTGCAGGATGCATTTCCTCAGCAGCTAAGGAGAACAGGGTGGATAAGACCTGGGCCACGGTGGTTTGCGTCACCCGTTACACCGATGCGAGACACGCTTTGCTTACCTTGAAAAGGTAGAAGTAGACCTGCTTGGTGTCAGTGTCCTCCTCTTTGTGCACGGACATGAAAAGGTTCTCCACGTCCACCACCATCCCCAGCAGCCTGTTAATCTCCTCCTCAGACACATTCTCCAAGTGGGACACATGGTCAGCTGTGAGTAAAAAGATGAAACA